TTACAAATTAAAAGCCTATATCTTACGGAAAATCAAATATAATCTTGACATACCATATGGTGTACGTATTACGATCGTCTTGCTGCCTGTCCCGGCTTACATCCCATAATTTCAACTTATGAATATTAATAACCTACGCTAATTAGGAAATCAAATAGTTGTCGTCTACATTATATATATATATATATATCTGCCTGATTAGTAAGCTGGGCTGAGCATGCGCAGAAGGAGTGGGACCGGTATTAAAGAATCTGATATATTACTATATCAAGTCTTCTGTACCTTTAAGTAGACTGATTTCATCTTTTGAGAGCGTTTGAAACAACACAGCCCAATCACTTATCCAGCCAGTGGCATGTGATGAGGAACTATGTCTTTTCCCGATTAGAAAATAGGGTTCTGTTGTTGGTTTGAGATTTGGATCTGACTTTCCACTTTGTTCTTCATTGTCGAGTATGCCATTAATATACAATCTAAATAGACGTGATTCTCTGTGCCACGTGAGAGCTATGTGATGCCACTCGTTAGCTGATAATCGACTGAAACGACAATACGACGATATCAATACGTTACTCGGTAATGTTCGTGACATAGAATCTCGTCCACCGTCGTTATCTCTTGTACCAATGATATGGTTCTGATAAATTGGTTTCTACCGTAAATTTAACCCCCCTTATACAAATCTTCCAATTCCTTCCAAATTCCAAGTCTTACCCGTTTCCTTCGAAAGTGTTACCACCTGATAGAAATTCCATTTCAGCCCTGAACCTTCCATTGTCCAAAAAAATCCTCGCAGATTTGCCGGAGTCACCTTTGTCATTCAGAATATACATTTTATCATCAGTCGATTTTAGATTCACCCATAATCCAATGGTCAGGTCAGTAGTGTAGAAATTAAAGCGAGGTATGGTCGAATAATCTTTCGTATCTTTTTGTAAAAATAAAGATGGTCTGTTGTCTTTGACTTGAAATTTTGCGCCACCAAACAAGCTGCAAAATGAGTTCAGTAACAATTCTTTACTTTGTCTTTCTTTGAAATACCTGCGCGAGAAAAGCCCTCGAAGGATAGGAGAGATCCTACGAATAACTCTACCCACATGTGGTGGCGAGTCCGGGGGATCAAACCTTTGAGGTCAGCGGTTGCATGCGGTACGCATTAAGAAGACCAAGAAGCAGGGAAAGCTTGCTCAAGCACTCCAGCAATGATTTCAAATAAAAATAAGAGCTTTTAATTTTTCTCCGGTCAGTAATCCTAAAAATCGTGCGTACACTGTATTTTCTGCCCGTGGTCCGGTATCCTGACGCAAGGTTTACGTCATCCAAGCGCGTATAGGAAAACGGATTAAACAACAACAAATTTCAAAACAGGTGGAAAAGTAAATGGGAAAAATAAATAAGTTATTTACCGGCCTAAAGTCGGTCCGGACCGAGCCCGTTATCTAGACCTCCTGGCCGGTAAATAACATAATGTAAGATTGACAAAAGTTATTCTATCATTTTGCATATCTCGGTTCTATCTGATGTCAGTGTATATTGAGTAACTTACCTCAGTCCAATGTCTGCACCATGTACAACATCTTAATAGCAGCTGAAATGCAAATAAAACAAGAGAAACAATCCCTTGAAGGTGAGTAGTGAATGTTAGTGGTGCATATAATATACAACAGTAATTGGCTTAACGCTGTTGCGGTCACCCTGTCCAAGGGCACTAGGACACCGAATGTGGTTGGATTTCTATAGGTTTTTTTTCCTTTCGATTATTTGAATTAAATCAACGTTATACTTGTTTACTTATCTTGTGTCCGTGCTCCTTCGTAGCCCTATATAGGCTCTATATGGAACTTAAGGTGAATTTGATTAACCATATTAACTCTGGACGGTTGAATATTACTGACGTAAGGAGCATCACGCGGTCGCGTTGTTGTTGGTATAGTACAAACAGAATCAAGTACGGAACGGCCGTTAAAGAAGTAACGCTCATAGGCTATTCAAACCGTTTGACCTTTGGAATGAAAACGTCTGCATTACAATTCCAATTTTGGATGGGATGGAGTGAAGTGTAATGTAGTGTAATAAAGTGATCAGTAAAGTGTTTTTTGTTTGTGTGTGCTGTGCTGTGGTATGGTGCGGAGTGGTGTGGTTGTTTTGAAGCGATTGTTATGGTGGGTGTGGCATGATGGGGTATGGTGGGTGTGACATGATGGGTGAATGAGTGTGATGGGGTATGGTGGGTGTGACAATGGGTGAATTAGTGTGATGAGTGTGACATGATGGGTGAATTATTGTG